CGTAACAATCATCAAATGATTGAAATATTGTCCAATCCTGTGTTTGCACGCTATAGTGAACCGCTTATACTAGGAGAGGCAAACAACAGGCAACATGACACAAAACCCGCAGATGGATGTACAGGTTCTAATATAGCTACAACTCGACATACGAGAGAGAGAGAGAGAGTGGGGTTCACTAGTGCGGGTCAGAATGACAATAAACAGCACCGGTGGACACTAATATGGCACGCAGTAGTGAACCCGACCGTCGTTGAAATTGAGGCAGACATAGAGAGATGTACAGGTTGAGCTTCCCGTGCGTATCAAAACGTATGTGCACTGGTTGTTTGTACTACTACTATATTGCTCTATGCTATGTATGCCTGTCATCATCCCTGATGTCTAACATGGTCTGTCGTTGTGTGTGTCTGTGTGTGATGTCGTGGCCGAGTATTAACTATTGCGTCTCCTATTGACAAGCCGGGGTGCAATGTTTCTCCCCAAGCTGTCGCTAGTGCGCCGTGTATGAGGCAACTCAGGTTGACTCCCTATGTCAGTGACGTTGCTAGCACAACCTCTCTGTTGACCAGAACAAACCATCCTTTGCCAACACGTGACCACTTTTTTCCCTTGTTGCATGATTCATTATGCTGGTCACTGCGGCATATTGTAGTGCATAATCTGGTGTTGCCCCCTTCATCACAACACGCAGCACTTTGTGCGGATCGGGAAAAGCACTTGCCAACCTCATAATTGCATGTGCCCACCCTTTTGTCACTTGTCCACCCGCCCCCTTCAAATCATAGTATACATCATGTTTCTCGTCTTCCTCATCGTTGCTGACATCGTTGCCGCTCACTTCCACGTCAGAAGATAATGTCCCCTCATCCTCTTTTTCATCTTTTTCTTCTGCATTGTCTGTGTACTCTGTAAAACAACTTGGTAAATCGGCCTCTTCAAATCCACGATCACACTGTTCTTTCTCCATTGTGAAAGCATTCAAGATATCGGAATACACTAGCTCCTTTCTCATTGCTGTCTGCATGGGAGGCACATCGACTGCCATACTGGTTATTGATTTTTGTGCTGCTGATGTCTGTCCGTTGTCTGAAATGATTGCTAAATTTGCTTCCCTGGCCATCACCTTCCACCTTTCTTCTCTTTCTCTTTGTCTCTCAACATCGCAACTTGCAAGACCGAGCCGCTCCAAAGCAGTTGATAATTACTCCCCCCAAAACGGTCTGCCAGATATGATGTTGTTTTCTGTTGTTGCTGACACAAATTCTATCAGATCTTGACCCTGCAGTGCAAACTCTGTGACTTTGTGCAACGCCTCATGGATGATGTTCCTGTCGTCGGCACTCTTTTTCATGAAGTCCACAAGTTGATCCAGCAGAACATATTCCACAACATATGCAACAATGACAGGAACTTCTTGAAAATCTTCTGGCGGTGTTTGTGTAATGTCCTTCATTCTGGACAACACCAAGATTTCTGCAGCACCACTCTTCAACTCGTCCTTCGACCCATCAACAAGCATTTCCCAATTTTTTGCCACAGTGCCCAGCAACTTCTTGAAATCTGCAGGTGTATATGTCCCCCCTTTCTGCTGCATTGTCATGTCCACGTCTCCTTCTTCGCACATCCCTTTGCTGCACATCCACTTGACCACTCATTTTAGACTGTATGCATTGTCTTTCACATCGCTGTCCACACGTACACGTGGTGACTCTCTGAAGCGTTGCAAGAGTGTCCGTGCTTTGACACAGCCCTCGCCGTTTGCCATGATCGTAGATCTCATATCTACACCGATTGTGAAGTACCTCGGCACCCTGTCCTCACGCAAAGACAACTCATTGTCACCGTTGTAGTGGACGCCCTCCTTTGCATACTTCATTACCTCTGCAAGAGCAGCCTCCACCTGTGCTACTTACATCGACATGATGCGTAGGGTTTGTCTTTCGTCCTCTTCTCTCTGCCAGCAGAAACGCACAATGACGTCAACGATTCTCTCTCTCTCTCTCTCTCTCTCTCTCTCTCTCTCTCTCTCTCTCTCTCTCTCTCTCTCTCCACCCATATCCGCGTGTATGTATCTGTGACGCTGTGTGTGTGTGTGTGTGTGGCGTCTATGTGTGAACCTATGTGGATGTCTGTGTGTGTTTCTGTATATGTCTATGGATGTGTGTGTATGAATGGTCTGTGCGTGTGTCTTCGTGTCTGTTCCCAAGTTGGCTACTGCGTGCCATTCGAAGTCGCAACGGTCATCATTCATCAGTTTCTGGCATGCACTGGCCAACTTTAAGGGTACATGCCAGAATGTATGTGTGTGTGTGTATGTGTGTGTGTTTTTTTGTATATGCCTGTGTGTGTGTGTGTGTATTTGTTATGCGTGTTTGTTTGTGCATGTGTTAGCGTGTCCGACTTCAGGTTGGCTACTGCGTGCCATTTGAAGTCACAACGGACCTGTGTCGTCTGTGTATGGCACGCAGTAGCCAACTTGAACGGTGCACGCCAGAATGTGTGTATGTGTCTGTGTGGCTGTGTGAATGTGTGTGTGTAACACAGGCTGTATGAGTATCGCTGTGTGTATGTGTATGTATGTATGGGTCCAGGTATTTCAAATCGCTAGTGTGTGTGTGTGTGTACGAATAACGCGGCTGTGTGTCTGTGTTTTTCTGTGTGTGTGATACTCTTCGCCCACAACAACCCCTGTTCGAACCTGACGAGTACATACGTAGGAGAGAAATATCTAAATGGCAAAAGGTATGACTAGCAAAGGGCAGGAGGGGGAGGGAGATGGGGGCCGAGGTACGTACATCGTTACGGTGGAGACCATCTTCATCACCTTGTTAGGCGCTGCATCTGGAAGGCTCCCCATTGGAAGGGGGGGGGGGCGGGGGGGGGGRGTTGCTTGTGTCAGCGTCAGGCATGGTGGATCACTGAGCATCCACATAGCTGCTTTGTGTTGTCCAGTGGACATCAGGTCAACGTACAACATAAGGCCCCCAGTAATTACTTCAACGCATGTCAGAGAAGGCAGAAGGAGGGTCGTCATGGCTATGTTGGGCTTCATGTTATGCCTGCAGTAGATGTGGGATTCAGACTTTGATTCTGGTTCATCCACTTACAAACCAGACAGACAGACACACAGACAGACAAACAGACAGACGGATGGACAGACAAACAAACAAAGACACGGACAGAAAGAAAGAAAGAAAAAAAAAAAGAAATTGAGAAAGAAAGAAAGAAAGAAAGAGAAAGAAAAAAAAAAAAAAAAAAAAAAAAAAAAAAAAAAAAAAAGACACACAAACAAAAAAACGGACACACAGAGACACAGACAGGGAGACAGACAGACAGACGGACAGACAGACAGAAAGACAGACAGACAGACAGACAGACAGACAGACAGACAGACAGACAGACTAGGAGACAGACAGACAGACAGACAGACAGACAGACAGGTGATCATAAAGAAAGAAAGAAAGAAAGAAAGAAAGAAAGAAAGAAAGAAAGAAAGAGAAAGACAGAAAGAAAGAACGAGAAAGAAAGAGAAAGAAAGAAAGAGAAAGAAAGAAGGAAAGAAAAAAAGAAAAAAAGAAAAAAAGAAAGAAATATGTTAGACAAAGAAAGAAAGAAAGAACGAAAGAGAAAGAAAAAGAAAAAAAGAAAAAGACAGACAGACAGACAGACTCACAGGCAGACAGTCAGAAAGACAGACAGACAGACAAACAGACGGACAGACAGACAGACAAACAGACTGACTGACTGACTAACTGAATGAGCAGACAAGGCGACAAACTGACAAACTGACAAACAGACAGTCAGCCAGACAGACAGACATACAAACCAGAGCAGACCGACAGACACATGGACAGACAGACAGACAGACACAATAGACGGAGCAGACAGACCACAAAACTGCTTTGTGTTGTCCATGCATATCTTTGACCTATGCGGATTTCTTCCTGCGGTAGAGATTGGTCAATGCAACATAGATGATATTCAGTCATTCAATATTATTATTGTTCTTTCTTGTTTGAATAAGAGGGGAGGAAGCAGGATTTGGAATCAAATTTTTTTTTCTCTCTCCCCTCATGTTTATATATTTCTTTTTGCAATTGGACGCCATTGAACTTTCTGCTGATTATACACTCCGAAATTGGTCAGGACCACAACACAGAACAAACAGACAGACAGAGGGTGGGAAAGAGAGAAGCGCGTGCAGACATGGAAGAGGGAGAAAAGGGGTCGATGCTAACAAACCAAGCATACAAATTACAGGTCACTGGATGAAAGAATGTAGAGTCAGAGAAAGGAAACAGCAAACACATTTAGTGTACACTCACGTAGGGATACTGTGATGGTCTGCGTACTTGTCCACAACAATAGAACAGACAGACAATGGGACCTCCACCAAGCCCGTGGTAAGAAAAGCAACGACAACAACCACTAATTCAACGACTGGCCTACTTGTACCCAACTTCCCTAGACGTACAACGCACCACGCACCTACAGACCTACACAATCGTCTAAACGGCAAACATCTACGAGCGCATTTTGGCAAAGACCCAAAGTACATGCATTTACATGGAAACCTACAGTAAGTGGACCGAAGGCTAGGACACACATTAGATAGACCTCCGGGTGCCTACGAGTCTTCTGAAAGGCGGAAACGAACAAAACTACAAGGTTGAAAGACCTGGGAGAGACAACTGCCTACAGGTTCCGCCGTTGGAGCCCACCGAAAGGCTGATCATTCGGAAAGAAAGAACGAAAGAAAGAAATTTGAAGAAAGGAAGAATAAGAAAATGAAAATGAAAAAAAAAAAAAAAAAAGTAAGAAAGAAAGAAAGGAGAACAAGAAAAAAATCAGCGACAGAGTCGTCCTCTAATACCTTCATGTCCCCCACTAGTGAACCTGATCTCTCTCTCTCTCTCTCTCTCTCTCTCTCTCTCTCTCTCTCTCTCTCTCTCTCTCTCTCTCTCTAATCAACCCACCTAGCACCACGAAGACTTCCACGGAGTCCACGATTCGACAGGACAACCATTATGCAGCACACACAGTAAAATTCTCAAGCTGCCTTTTTTTCGCGTGCCCCTCCTTACGTGGCACAGCTTTCCTCTTCTTCGCCCCTGCTCTGCTGCCATCCCTTTCCGCCTGTCTGGCCTCCATCCATTGCTGTCTCTCCTCAGCTCTCGCCTTCTTGTCCAACATACCTTGATATTTCTCAACCCAGCGAGGCTTCGACAACCTATTCACCAGTCTCATGTCCTTGACCTGGATCGTCACCCTCTTCGAATGGATGGCCACCTCGTTGATGGTCTCGAAATTGGCGACCAGGTACACCTCGGCAGCCTCCATCAAAGCACGCACCGCCGTCATCTGAAACCTCACGCCCATACCCAGAGCAATGTCCTCCCTCACAGCCTCGCACATGAGCCGCAAGAACGGCCTGAAAGCCAGACAAAGGTCGGTGGATCGTTGCAACTTTCTGATTTCCGCCGAAGTTGCCATCCCGGAGCGTTGACGGCGTCCGGGGACCTGAGTTCGTGCACCTGCGGTGTCTCCGGTCGCTGGCACCGCCTTGGGGTTCACCTTCTTTCTGCCTGCGGGCGTCTGCCCACGTGGCGGTCCCGACATGCACTTCTTCATCTTCCCCGGGCTCTGCGACATCGCGACATCGCTCGGGCGGCCCATGTCACCCTATGCTGCAGAGCACCCCCCGACGCGACCAGGACCACATGGGTCCTCCACCTCAACAGACAAACGGGAAATTTCAGAGCGTTTTTCTGTCCTCTTGCCTGGCTGCGCTGAACCTGCCAAGTCATTCTCCGCCAAATGCCGAATGTCTCGCAGGAGTCCATCTGAGTAAGTCAGATGGAAAGGCACACCAAGCGGGTCTCTGAATCTCATGATGACGACTCCATTATGCTCATATGTCATGGGACATACAACCGGGAGCCAACCAAGAACGATCGTGCAACCGTGCCTGCGGTAAATGTGAGTCATGTATTTGTTCTGACCGTCGGCCTGCTCTTGGTCCGTACGACTCCCCTCAACCATGGACCACATCCCCTGGTCAGCCATAGAGTCATAACCCGCGCACACCATCTGACGCTCCTCCTCCCTTATCTTCTCCCAACAGCACTTTGCGTGTTCAACCATCAGCACGTGGTCCTTTACATTTACATTAAAAATTGAGACACGTGCCAGAACCACGAGGAACTACCAATGCTCCACAATGCCTGCATTCATCCATCCCAATGGGAGCCAATGCCTTGATTGCAGTCTTGCTGCCATCGTCACCTTGCCATCAACCACTGCAGAATGCAAACATCCTGGGACCCAATTGACACGATAACCATACTTTTCAGGGGCCATATGTTGCTGCAACTGTCCTTTAAGAATGACATGGGCCCCAATGTCTATAGCAGAGAGAACGTCACTCCTCATTGTGACATGGTCCCATATCTGCGAGCATAGTCCATCATACGTGGCTTCCTGCTCTCTTGCATGCGTGTATGTGCTGCCATCCTCACCAATGAACACTTTTCCTTCAACCACCTCCAACTCCACAGGGTTCCGAAGCGGCGGGAAAAAGCAGCCAGTAGTATGGGTAGGACATGCCATTGCCTTCTTCTCGTCTTCTGATACCTCCCTGTCGAGGTTCCTGAAGGAGAAGTTGTCATTGCGTGCTCCAGACATTGCTCATGGCATTACGCATCATCATCCTCACACGGCCACATGAAATCGGGATCGCATATGGCACCCAACCCCACCTAGGATCCATCCTCGCATCGCTCTCGTGGCACGCCGTACTCCCTGTTGCGTCGTTCCCACCAATCACTCATGGCTGTCCGCAATCAAAACTGCCGTACAAAAAATCGTTCAGCCTGAACTCACCCTACGCCTCCAGAACACGCCACATTTCCAATGCATATCGTCCTTTCTCCTGTGGTGTTGCCCCATCATTCAACCTTAATACTCTGTCAAACATGATTGACAGAGTTACGTTTCGCCATGTATTCATTTTGGGGGCAGGAAATGGAACCCATGTCCCATCGACTTTGAACGCAAAGCAGGGTGCTCCTCCAACAATACCCGGTTGAACACGATCCGGCACCCAATTGATGTCATATGGGTACTCTTCTCCTACTGATGTCTTCACCACATTTTCATCTTTCACAATACACCCTGTCAGAGATGCCCTGCTTCCCAGACCTCCCTCCTCTCTCTCTTCCCCAACCTTTTCCGTCTCACAAATGCTCCCTCCTGCATCATTCTTTGTTTCATCACCATCACCCATCATCTCTGCAGTCTGTGCATATATTGTCGCAAGCACCTCTGCACAGTCTGCGGTGTTCCCTCCAACCGAATTCCCTTCCTTGCGGCCATCTGCAAAACCCGTCAGAATGTCCTCCGTCTCCATGGCGCATGTCTCTCCACCGTTGACAGTCGATGCAATCGCGGGTTCCATCTATTGCATGAGACACCACATACATTTATGAGAGCACGTAGCTGCGACACGGCCCCCTCACCCAGAGAGAGAGAGAGAGAGAGAGAGAGAGAGAGAGAGAGAGAGAGAGAGAGAGAGAGAGGTTCACTAGTCCGGGCCAGAAGGACAACAAACAGCACCAGTGGACACTGATATGGCACGCAGTAGTGAACCACTTGTGTGTCATGAGGCAAAAAGCAGCAAACATTATGGACATAAATTTACTCTAAGTAGAAAGTAATCATACAGGCAGCACTTAAACACACATCACTGTGTGTGTGAATGTGTGTGCGTGAGTGAGTGAGAGAGAGAGAGAGAGAGAGAGAGAGAGAGAGAGAGAGAGAGAGAGAGAGAGAGAGAGAGAGAGAGGTTCACTATTGCGGATCAGAACTCCAACAAACATCTCATGCGAGACAGACATCGACCTGCAGTAGTGAACCTCATGCTGTTGGACAGGGAAAGACGCAGCGACAGAGAGTGATTCACTACTGCGGTCCAGAACGACAACAAACAACACCGGTTGATACTGATATGACACGCAGTAGTGAACCACAAGTGGTTGGAAACGCAAAGATGCAGCACCGCCGAGAGGTTCACTATTGCGGGCCAGAACTCCAACAAACATCTTATGCGAGACAAACATTGGCCCGCAGTAGTGAACCTCGTGCTGTTGGACAGGCAAAGATGCAACGATAGAGAGCGGTTCACTGCTGCGGGTCAGAACGACAACAAACAGCACCGGTTGACACTGATATGGCACACAGTAGTGAACGACAAGTAGTTGGAAATGCAAAGATGCAGCGACAGCGAGAGATTCACTATTGCGGGTCAGAACTCCAACAAACATCTCATGCGCGACACAGAGCGGTTCACTACTGCGGGCCAGAACGACAACAAACAGCAGCGGTGGACACTGATATGGCACGCAGTAGTGAACCACAAGTATGTCAATACGGAAAAAGACAGCGAACATTATAGACAGAAAAGTATGGACGAAGAAGTTGTAATACAGGCAGCAATAAACATACATAATATTGTGTGTGTGTGTGTGTGTGTGTGTCTGTGTGTGAGTGTGTGTGTGTGTGAATGTGTGTGTGTGTGTGTGTGTGTGTGTGTGTGAGAGAGAGAGAGAGAGAGATCACGCGTCCCTGACCACCCGCGCAACCACGATTTGATGTCTTGTGTAGAGAGTTTTTAAGTGGTCGTTGATGTGAAGTCCTTTCCTGCAATGCTGAAATTCGTTATTCCCTCCATGCTGGTCTACGTTTGTTACGACCTATATAATTATCTCTTTGATGTACGATATGAGATGGGACAGACAGTCCGCAACCAGCCTCGCCATTTGTCGCGAATTCGCTTTTGCAACGAACTTTTGAAATGTGTCCGTCGTCATAGGCAGAGCAACAGATTTTGCATTAGCACAAGGTGCTTTGCTAGCAACGACACATGGGAAGTTGTGACGACCGTGGTGATAATTCAGTGCGGCAACATCGGTGCACGCCAGCAGGGCATGTGGCGCAGGCGCAAAGTCCCCGACACTGGTCCCAATTCCTCTGGAGGTTTGCATTGTTGTGTCGATTTTTTCACCTGCCTTCGTCCTTTCACCTTCTTCACTTCCCATGACAACTTCGTTCACACAAGTCACCGTCATTTCTCCAGCCAACAACCTACCTCGTGTGTGTTGCAGAGCATCCATGACGTCCGCGCGCAACTGTTCAACAGAGACGTCATATTGCGAGGAAGGTCATCCTTAGCAGTTGCGACACTCTCATCACAGAGACCGTCCTCGTCTACGATTTCCTTACAGTGGCGAATACAGTCTGTTGCGAAGGCCAAGAGGTCGACGACACTTCGTGACGAAGCAGTTAGCGAACCCGTATTATATTCTTGGGTATCATACGATGCCCACCCCTCCATCAGCACACACTTCTCAGGGCTGGCACAAGATGCGACATCAAGTCCTTGTAATTCCCTGTGAGTTCTCTTTGTGACGTGGGCGGCGAACCGATTCAAAACCGCAGTGCGCCTGCGCCTTTCACCATCCAACCATGTCTGAAACTCGTCAAACGTGGTGGTCTTCGTTTTGGCTATTGCCTTCAGTCTGGCAGTCATGTCCTCCCTCAGACGAGTTATGTCTAAACACTTTGGATCGGATAGTAACAACCAGTACACGGTGAACATCCTGTGTTCCGCAGTTTCTGTCATTTCGTCGAGCAGTGACGTAATACGGCCTAGTTCGTCTGACATCTGTCTCACCAATTGTTTCGGCTTATGTACCTCATCTGTTAGCCTGTTTATATGTTATCGCTGCTTCTCTAGTATCTGGCCCCAGTTCCGGTCCATCTCAATCGTCTTCTCTTCTTTGGCCCCCAGTAGAAGAAAGTGATCCGTCGTTGCATCACACTCTTCGCCTGACTTTGTCTTCTGTCCGGTTTTGGCCAATCTTGACATCTGGAAATATATGTATATACAGAGAAATACATAGAGAGAGAGAGAGGGGCAGAGACAGGGCCTCACTACTTCCATAGTTTTTGTCAGCGGGCGCCTACCAAAGATTGGCTATATGTACGTGGCAACAAATATTGTTATTTATTACTGTACATTTGCGATTCCCGCGTACATGACTCGATATAACACTGGACAACACAACTTAACAAATACAAAGCAGACCATTCTTTCCAAACGCATCCGTCGGAATGAGGGAGTGAGAGAGATAGAGACGCATGAAAGAAAGAATGGGGTTAGAAAGAGAGAGAGAGAGAGAGAGAGAGAGAGAGACGCCAGGAACAAAGAAAGAAAGAACCGTCCGCCAAAACTAAAATGTATAGAGGTCGCTACTGCGGGTCAAAATCACACTTATGTACCTCGTTCAATGCGTTCGTGGCCCGCAGTAGTGAACTTTCTTTCTCTCTCCCTCCCTATCTATCTATCTATCTATCTATCTTCCTCTCTGATTCTCTGTCTCCCATTTGTAAGAAATAGCAAAACAAAACAAAAGGAAGTAAGAAAAAATACAAAGAAAGAAAGAAGTAGAAAAAAAA